CCCCCACCCACCCAAAAAGAAAACCCTCTTTCCTTTTCCTTTTTTTACTCTGTAAAGTTACTGTATTTTTCATTTACGACAAATCCAAAACACAAATATACTCTCACTAAGAACACTATCTCTTTCCTCTGAGCCCAAACAGTAGGAGACAAACCCAACTCTTTTTCCCACAGATTAACTCACTGGCTGTTAGTCACGCTTCGCTTTAGACCCTCCGAGTGCTATCAATTTTCCCGGCTCTTGTGGACAAGGAAAGAGGGGGGGGGAGTGTTGAGGATCAGAAAGAAACCGAATATTTACGGCCTACTGATCAAGAGACACGCGAGCGTTCGTGGATACGTTGGCTCTCTCCTAATGTTGTTCTTTTATTTGCTTCTTATTGCTTTCGTAAACTGGTGCCAGAAGTTCAAGTGAGGTTGTTTTCATCACAAGTTCGAGTCTTTGGCCCTCGATGAGTCTCTCGATAAAGCTTTATGAGAGTATAAGTTCCTCAAAGCTCTTGGATGCATGTTATCTTTTCTTTATATTTTGGGTTATTTACTGGGACTGCTGTGAAGGTACAGTTCTTTTTTTTGTGCAGGTGTCTATTGAGACCATGGTTGAAGGAATGAAAGAAAATTGTTGTTTTTTATGTGTACTGAGTCTATTGCCGAAATAAAGTTCATTTTAAAAGTGAACTGAGGCTATTGTTGAGGCAGAGTTCTTTTTGAGGTGTTTACTGCGACTATTGTTGAAATAAAGTTCTTTTTGAATTGTGTTCAAAGTCTATTATTAAAAGAAAGTTTATTGAGTAGTACACTGAGACAATAAAATTATTGAAAATGTAAAGTTTTTTAAAGCTGTGTTGAAACATTGTCACTGATGTGACGGTCTTTTCAATTCTGCAAATGCATTGGATATTTAAGATTCTGCTCTGTGACTGTATGTTTGAAGATTTGGTGCAAAGCTGTGCATTGTGTTTGAAAGAAACAAAATGGTCAATTCGAGGTTTTTTTAAAAATAACAACAATAAAACAATCGTTTATTTTGTCTTTTCAACACTGTAATACAGCCTGTTCATATCTTGACAATGATGATGGTTTTTGTTTATAATTATTCCTGTTTATAGGGATTATGCCTTTTCAACCCTATGTTAAAGAATGTTTTGTGTTTTGAAATTGATTATACCTTTACTCTAGAGTACTAGTCCTCTTTTTTCTCTCTTTTTTTTTTTGCTTGGGGAAAGGGGGGGGGGCTGTTGTTCTCTAAGTGACTTGGCTATGGCTGCCGTTACTGGAGTCCAAACTGGCGACATTGTTATATTAATATGTTGAGTGCTAGTCAAAAAATCCTTATATTCAACCTCTTCGAACCTCGTTATTTTCTTGGGAAACCACAAAATGGTCGCACAGTGAAACATGCTTTGGCTTAATCCATTCACCGCTGAACCTACAGCTCACTAAAATCATAATGTGACATTTTGAGGAAGAATGAACGTAGTTTAATTAATTAATTAATTAATTAATTAATTAATTAATTGATATGTGCTTGAATGTGTTCGTGAGTTGATGTATTGATGTGGCCATTGTTCAATTGCTGCCTTTCCTTATTTAAAATAGACACTGTTTACTTGACTTCAACAATATGAAATAATGCGATTCGTCAACTTTCTGTTTCGCTTGCCAATGAGTATGGGTGTTCTTCTTCTCCTTTTATACTTTAATAAAACGGATAACTGTTCTGGCCCTACCAACCACATCACCTGTGGGTAGCTCATTTTTTATGTGTCCCATCAGCCGCTCGATGATAAAAACAAACAGGAAAAGACAAATGAAGTTTTTGGGACACCTAAACAGACATGCTAATATTAAATGCCTTGAGCGTCTAGCTCTCAGTTGCAAAACCGAAGGCAAACGAGGCAGGGGTAGGCCGGGCGAAACCTACTTGGAGAACCTAAACAGACGGGTGAAAGGAAAAGGTCAGGGTAATGTAGCTTTTTTAAAAGAATATCCGAGCAACGGAATGAACGGAGAACTATGATCACCGATGTCTGTAGCAAATCTGACACTTGATGATGATGATACTGTTTACCAGCGTATGTGCTGTAATTTCTTGTCACGGTTACACAAAAAAGACGCGAGGTCTAATTTCATGAAGGGTGAAAGGGAAGTTATTTTATCGAGTATTTTTGTCTGTCTGTATAGATCTTGTGTCATCAGTCTGGGTTGGCAGACTCGAACCAGCCTGCCTCATAAAAGATCTAAATTAAGATGATAACAGTAAAAGAATATATCTACCAACGAACATTGTTTACCTGTGTCCATTTCTTTGCGACAATCGGATACAATGACTTCCTGTTTTACATGACAATGATTATGGACGCTTTCACTTTTTTCTCTTCATGTAGGCCTAATGGGTATATCAACCATATTAACTTTTTTTTTAATGCATCGGACACAATATTACGTTATACTAGCACAGACCAAAGAAAGTTTCGCTTCATATTTTGAACCACCATACACGTAAACCAGAAACATGAATTTGCATAATTTGCATATATTCATAGTATACATGTTGTTGCAGCCTTGTGTGTGTGTGTGTGTGTGTGTGTGTGTGTGTGTGTGTGTGTGTGTGTGCGTGTGTGTGTGTGTATGTGTGTTTCAGATAACGAAAACGAAATTGAAAAAATAATCTTCCTGAATAACGAAAGTAATGATACATCATTTATAAAGTGCACCAAAACAGCGCTTTTTTCAAGTATTGTCGAATGACCAGATCCACAAGTTCTATAACTCTGAGTTAATCTTGATCATTCCAGATCTAACCCAGGGGCTGTCGTGGTCTGGACAGTATGGTGTTTTGCCTTTCATTCAGTAGGCCCGTGCTTCGAAACCATAAAACGACGGAAAGTTTTCCTCTCTAAAATAGTATACTTTCACCTCCTTTTCTGCTTTCTAACCATAATCTGTTGGCTTTCGTCTCTATTGTTAGCCTTCCCCCTCCCCCTCCCACCTTTTTTGCCCCTCCTCTGGGCTCCTGACTCTGTTTGCAACCTTTCTGCCACTCCTTGGCCCCTTTTTACAGCTGTATTCCAGCCACAACCCTGATCCTAGGTTAGATAAGATCTAACACCGAGCTTTCTCAGATAAGAGCAAACATCTCAGAGGTCCGTGTGCAAGTTGCGCACGATAAAAAATCCCTTTGTGGTTCAAAATGGATAACGGTAGGCTTCGGCCGCCATCCGGGCAAAATTCAAAATTAATTCATACCAAACTAAAAATGTTTAATCTGTCTCGCGCGCTCATATGACCTTATGCAGTTGCGAGCGCCGTAAAACACTTACCACAACAACAAAATATCTAACCCGAGTGCTTTCGTCCTCAGGTCTAAGTCCACTCACGTCATGGGAGCGGGGGCCTCTACCAAGAGCAGACCAACCACTGGCGCCTCTTCCAAGGCGGCCTTCGGCGACGATGAGGTGAGCTATATTAGTATTATAAAATCGATTTTTGCTTGATGATGATGATGATGATGAGGAAGCCCACAAGGCGAAACGTTGAGCTATTAAACAAATTTAAACTTTTTATATTGTTATTTTATTTTGTCTAAAATTAAAACAAAACTCTCCCTTCTACTCTGCTTATCAAACAATGATGATGATGATGATGATGATGATGATGATGATGATGATGATGATGATGATGTTACTGGAATCCAAAAATGCAATAAAATTGGTCTGGATGGATACAGTTCCTTTTAAGTCTGGAATAAGGAAACCTTTTTGCACTAGTCGGAGGGGTTTTTTGTTTCTTTTTAATAAGAGTTTTGCGGCACTTGCAACACAATTGGGTCACATAAGTGCTGAAAGACCTGGAGTGCACGACAGAAGTTATGTAAGAAGTTTTGCCGGACAACTTCTACACTCTGAGAGACCGTCTGACCACGTCCTAGGTATATATTGGCCCTGGCTGGCGTCTGCATGTTACATCGCGAATACGAGAATTGGCAGGGGCACAAGTTGTGAAAGTCGGAACAAAAGTCTGCGGTCATTTTTAAAAGTACAGTATACGCAGTTTTTACAATTTTACAGGAGCCCCCACCCCCAAAAAAAATAAATCCCCACAACAAACCAGAATAATATTGTTACCGGAAAAAAACATTTATTGCTTAAACATAATAAGGAAGTAGTTATTATCAAAATTGTGTTCTTAAAAACATTTACTTGGGATGTCTCCAAAGAGTTTGTTTTCTTGGTACAACAACATTCCGTTTTGTTTTGTTTTGTTGTTTGTTTGTTGTTTGGGTTTTTGTTTTTTGTTTTGTGTGTGTGGGGGGGGGTGTAACAGTCCTGAAAACTGTAAATACTGCATAATATACTGTATTTTTGAAAGTGATCGCAGAAGTGGTGTCGACCTTATAGATTATATGTCGTGACAGAATTGTGAGGCATCAAAGTGAAATCAGGCGCTCGTCAAGATAATGAAATCGAAGAAATCGAAGAAATCGAAGAAATTGGCATTTTCCCGCCGATGTAGCAAATGTTGTTGAATTGAGTATCTTTTTGTCTCAACACTTTTAATGTTGGTTTAAGAAACACAAAAAATGAAAAAAAATTAGTTTCCGAGGATTCTCAAGCTATGGAAGTCACTAAATCTTCGAGGCCATTTTCTCGCTAATTTTATGTTTAAGACCAGGTGATGGACACCTCCATCAATCGCAAGTTTCTCGACTTCTTTTCATAATAGATGGGATTTTTTTCATTAAAATCAAGGCAAATGAACAAGCTTTAACATCATACCAAAAACTCCATAATATGCCCCAAAATTGACGAGCGTCTGATTCTACCATGCTGTAACAAAATCAAAATCTGCTCCCCATGTTGTCACACCAATCTGCCTACGTTACGTTACCTGACGATGTCTTGATGGATGCAAGGATGGATCAATATAGCATTGATCTCAGTCTGGTGTTTTATCAAGCACCGTGTTCGATGGTCCTACCCTTCGATAATGCATGCAGATACGAGAAAAGTGGAGTGGAAAGGGGGGGGGGTGCTGGGCTTTTTTTTAATTTTTAGGGGGGTGGGAGCGGTGGCAAAATCAAATAATGTCAAAAGGTACAATTAGCAATGTTGCACATCAGAAATCAGTGTCAACATTTGTGTAGCAAAGCTGGAACAAGCTTCAGGGGCTTGCTCAGTAGTTCAAGGTCATTTCGAGTGATTTTAGTTTCGGTTGTGTTTGAGTCCCCTTTTAAACGAACTTGTTACTTTCAGAGCTGATATTGACATTGTAACATAGCTGCTCCCTTCGATAAAGTGTACTACTAGAAAGTTTTCGCCCCTATGGATACTATTTAGATCAGCTGAAAAGGAGGCAACGTTCCAGCAGAAAGACGGATATAATAAAAATCCATCCATGTGGGAAACGAACCAACGTCTTCTGTTTGGTATGGTTATGTAGGTTACTAGTTCAGTGCACATTTCGACAGAGTAATGTTACTTCAGAGTGATGATTTCTAAATAAACATCCATCTCCGGTGTGACCGAGCAAAGTGAAACGCTTTGTAACTTTAATAATTATTAGAATTTTTTTTTTCAAAAAAGCAACGTTGCGGTTTCTCTTCAACTGTGACAGAGTTTTTCCCTCAAAGCACATGCAGTCGACATCATAAATTATAATCTTTGGCCTGGAAACCGTGAATACTGACCAACCAATGTGTTTGCACAACGCAATCGCCCATATTTCAATGGTCTAGAGAGGCGTTCACGGCGCCAACGGTCAGCCCCGCGAGTCAAAAACAGACTGTTGAGATCGTGAATTCCACACAGGTGTGGGATTCACGGTTTCATCAGGCGACTTTTGGGGCACGGTGTTTATTCACGATTTTCATATTACGTCAGATTACGCGTTTGCGTTGAGATAATTGAAAAATTGTTTTACAGGGACATGTATCTCACCGAGCACTATCAAAATATGCAAAAAAACGATTTTCGAAAATTTGTGCAATTCACAGTTTTATCAGGCGACCGACGATAATTAATGATTCCAACCTTACCAAAGAGTCGAACCCAGCTGGACTTTTCCTGGATTAGAACTCATGATCTTTTGATTACAATAATTAGTGGCAAGCTGCAAGATAATTACTACACAACTCTCCCTTGTGCCCTTAGGATAATGGAAAGAGAAATAGAACCACTAATGCCCAAGAAGTAGAGCCCCTTTGAGGACTCGAACTTAAGTAACCCCTAAACAGCAAATTCACGTTTATGCCTACTTTTTGGTTTTTGGAACGGTGTCCCCATGTAGAACGTGAGAAATAGGGGAAAGAAGAAGCTACCAGAGCATTCTGTGTGTGTGTGAGTTCAATTCTTTTAGTATGTAACTGACGTAAGGATATTTCCTAGAGAGCCAAACCACTTAATTTCATTGCATCGGCATTGCATTTTAGCTTTTAGATCGCTCTATAAAAGTACTATTTCTTTTTTTAAAATTTAGTTAAGGTTTTACGGCGCTCGCAACTGCATAAGGTCATATGAGCGCCAATACTTTTATTTGTCAGAATTTCTAGATACCCGTGTACACGATGAGGAATCTACCAAGGTAAGGGTTGAAGTGGGTAGGCGTTTAGCCTTCGCGTGCAGAAGACATTAGTAAGTTCGATTCCCGAGTGGGAAGAACTCGTATTGAGCATATCCGTCTTTTTGCAAGGAGGTGATATCCCTCTCAGCCCGGTTGGCCCTGACAGGCAGGGTAGAAGCAGTCCACTTCCTCTGTGATCTAAATTATGTTGACGGGGGCCTAAAACAATTACAATAACAAATGACAGGGCAGTAGATCCTTTTTGGGACTCGAACTAAATCAGTGACCAGCACAACAATAAAAAAAGAAAGATGAGAACTCTCTTTCAAGAATAACTATGGCAGAAAATGTAATTGAAAAAATCCCGAACGTACGTGTTTAGAGGATTAATATGCCGACGTTAATTTTAAAAAATTGTTTGTTTTTCTATGCCGGAAGAGAAGCTATGCTTCTAGTATCTCTGGTGTGCAGTGGGTCTACTTTTATACACCCCTCCACCCGCCCCCTTCTCTCTTCTTCAAAAGCAATCTATTATTGATTTTTTAAAGTCGTGCTCTATTCTCTCTGTCGAACTGTCACTCAGTCTACCTCTCTGTCAATATACTTATCTTGTTACCTGCTTTGTTTATTCTTTTGTTTCGGTATCTTTCTAATCCTCCTTTTCGTCAATGACCTGTCTCGTTATTCAATTCTGTACTTCTTCTGCTCTTCTTCTTCTTCTTCATCTTCTTCTTAGCTTGTCAATTGCTGGGCTTTCTTCTTCGCTTTTCAATTGCTGGGCTTTCTTCTTCGCTTTTCAATTGTTGGGCTTTCTTCTTCGTAGCTTTTGAATTGCTGAACATTGATTCTCGAGCCTTTCAACAATGCAACACTCTGCCTCTTGCCACTCTTCCTCTCTAATTAATTTGATTCCAAGCCAGATTTCTATGTCTTGTTCACATAATATTCTACTATGTCTCCCCCTTCCTCTCTTGCCCTGTACTTTCTCTTTCAGAATAGTATGCTTCTCGAGTGAATCATGGCGTTTGCTATGCCCAAAGTAGCCCAGATTCAGTTTCAATATGTGGTGAAGGAATAATGGTGTTTCTATGCCTATTTTTCAACGAACTTCTTTAATTCTTTTTCTTTTCCTGTGTGCACGAAATTCGAAGAATTCTTCTATAACTTACGTTTTCGAAAGCTCTGCTTTAAAAAAAAAATATATATATATCTTGTTCATCGATGTTTCATACTTCATATTCATTTAGGCCTATTGCGGTGAGGGAAATTATGGTACTTCTCAGATTTTTATTTGAGTACCCTTGCTTTGTCACATGATGACGAACTCGGTTTCTCTCTCTCTCTCTCTCTCTCTCTCTCTCTCTCTCTCTCTCTCTCTCTCTCTCTCTCTCTCTCTCTCTCTTATTCTTTTCTCATATATATACTCTTTAATATTTTAAACTTCCCACCTCATATTAAAGGCAATAATTATCTTGATTAATATTTAACGAAACTCTCTTAAAATTTCAGATAAGGCAGTGCATTCATTATATAGCAAGGAAAACACGTGGCATGCAAAGTTAAGACTGTTTTTTATCTTCAATTTTGAACTTATAGTTGTCAGGGGTCAAAATGAAAAGTGACAGCTTTCAGTGACTTGTGATGATATCTTGTGTTGTCACATCTCACATCGTCGACGTATGGACGGGATGAATCGAGGCCATGGCTATTGAGGGATAATATTCCACTTTCCAATTAAGACTTAATCTAACCGAGAAAGGGGTACGGGGCTGGCGTGGTGTTGCCCGAATATCGCGATCTAAAATGCTTCACCACACGTGACGCTGTGCCCAGTAAAGTCTGTGCGTGATGTGATGGGGCTGCAGTTTTTTTTGCGACAAACTAGGCCCGTAGGGTGAAGGTTTCTATGTTTCAAACGAAGAACAGTCATGACAAAGATCGGTCAGCCATTTCTAAATCTTTTCGATTCATCCTGGGCCTTTGCTTGCCGGTTGAAATTGATTTCTCAAGCATTACGTTAGGATGAATGAGTCCACCCTCGATTTTGTCTTTCTATATATATACAATATATATGTATATATATATATATATATATATATATATATATATATATATATATATATATATATATATATATATATATATATATATATATAACTTCAATTCTTAATTCCATAATAAATTAATACGAGCAGTGCCCAAAAGAACATGATTTTGCTCAGGTTCTGTGCTCATGTTTGGAAATGTAATAATATGTTTGAGCTCCCAGTGAGAGCAAGTGACTTCAGTCTTCTGAGTGATTGTGTGTGTGTGTGTGTGTGTGTGTGTGTGTGTGTGTGTGTGTGTGTGTGTGTGTGTGTGTGTGTGTGTGTGCGCGATGCAACATTATCACAGTTATAAAAACTGTGAAACCTACCCAATCGCAGTGGTATTTAGTGAGGAGAAACAATGCCTACGGATTTATTATATATAATTAAGGGGCTATAGCTTCACTAAAACAAATGGACGATTTGTTCTGTGTCTATGTGTAAATACAAAGCATAGATTCTGACATTGACTAGTTCACACTACCCTTTCTCCCTTAATCCCGTCACACAACCTTTTTTTCACCTTTTCAATTCACCTTTACTAAGAATGACTCTGTGTTGAAACTCATGACATCGTCTCGCTTCATCGATATGTGTTTGATAGTGAGACGATATGTTTGAAAGTGGAGGGATGGCAGAAGAGTGCTCACTCCCTCACTCTCACGCACGCCCCAGTCGTGTTTTATTGAAATTCCTTACAGTATAGTTCATTTTGTATGTACTTGTCTTCCCTTGAAGAGGGCTTTTTTTAACATGCCTAAATTATATCTAATTAGGGAGCTTAGAAAAGTGTGTTACTCATACTGGTACCTCAAACCGGGTTCTTAAGTTGTTTATGTCTTCAGGGCGTGTTCTTATGCATTCACATTAAAGAATAAAATAACCAGACACACAGATAATGTGGGCTTTAAGGCGGACCGTGCTCTAGTTCCGGGTGTTTTTTTAGGTGGAGACCACTGTATATAAGAATGAGGAAGAAGTAAAAGAATGAAGGGGATAAATGCAGTTTTAAAAAAAATCGAAGTATGTACAAGATTTTGAAAATCTTGTTGTAGAGGAGCCAAGCCCATATAAATTCTACTGATCCATTCCACTGATCCAAAGCTGTTTACGAGCTATCAAATTCCAATTCTGCCCTTCAACGTACGCTTCATTCCTGTTCAAAGTAAGTTCTCCCAAAGTTCAGTGCCCAATCGAGGTGCAGATTACCTGAGCTCGCCACGGTCTAATCACCCTCCTAATACTCTTAAGAGGAGAAGAACGAGATAATAGAACTGGCCCGAGCAGCGAGCTGGCCTGTAGGAAATGTGTCTGGGGAGGTCAGCAAGATTTCCGGATACGGTAGGTGCAGCACAAACCGCTTCGACAAATCGGATGTGCTTGATCTGTTCAGGGCAGAAAGTCAGACAGACCAGTGTCCAGCAAGAACGAATTTCCATGCGCGCAATCATTTATTCTCCTTGTTTTCTCTTGGTATAATTGCGTAAGAAGGCATTTACCTCATATCGAATTTCTTGAAAAGAATACTGTGATGATTCTTATTCATCAGAAGTTGTCGCAACTATAATATTGTGATTTTTATCAATATTGCTATAATCATATTATTGTCAGTATCATTAATATCATTACTTACGTCATCATTATTATAATTTTTTTAATATATAATTTTAGATATAAAAGGGGGTGTGTGAGAGCAAGATTACCCTTAAGCCCTCTCCCTTGAAGTTGAAGACCAGCTTCGATTGACCCTAGTAAAATGATATGAGAGTGGTGCAGAAATCGAAAAGCGTGACGTCCAGTTGGCATCTGCTCAAGAAAAGCCTAGCCAGAACGGCCGTCGTCTTTATAGAGACTCTTCAAACTCGGACAAGCGTGAATTCCCATAAACGTCTGACCGTGGGTGTAGAACAATGTTATGGTGCGAATACTGTGGGTGGGTTCTTAAACGTTGCATGAAAATAGCAGCAGTCGAGGGGAAACGAACAGTGTGGGCTACATATGCAGATCCGTAAACTGCAGACACTGGACCTCATTCTTGCCGAGTCTTCAGAATTGCCGAGAATTACGTTACAAGCTGTGTTCTACGTAGAATAACAATACATTATGCTCTAAGTCTGAAATAAGATGCAAACTGTTTTTCCGGCTATAAAGTCCATGATATATAACTGAGAAGTCATAGTCTGTACTGAAAGAGGTACACACGTGTTATTTGTGTTACTGTACCCTTTTCGCTATGCAAGGAAACTAAACGGAACTCCCCC